TAGACATTATCCAATTGTGTGTGTCACACAAACTTTGTATGCTAGCTGAGATTTTGTGTGTGTGTGTGTGTGTGTGTGTGTGTGTGTGTGTGTGTGTGTGTGTGTGTGTGCGCGCCCCAAATCAGAACCCACTGAAAGGTAAGATATTGAAGTTGTAGTTGTGCCACTTCCAGCCTCTTTGAGCTTGTGCAGCTGAGAGGGGATTCGAATCCGAGACTCCCGAGTCCTAGTTTGTAACTCTTGTCTACTCCATGGTGGGGTCTGAGGCTGATTTTATGTCTACAGATGGAACAGAGCTGAGGAAACTCCTGAATTTCCAAGTCCCCAGGTTGTAAAAACACTGCCTTTCGGCAAACGACCAACTCCATTTTAAACCGACTCTCTCTTTTTCCTTTGTTCTATAAGATCTGCCAGCCTAACAGGTCTCCCCACACAGAAACAGGATTATGCCTTCATGAGAATGAAAAAGACACCTTCCCGGATTCTTCCCACCTGTGCCCTTCAACACAATCCAAACCCTGGCAAGACAAGCTGGAGAAACGGGTTGTGAAAAACTTTGCTAAAGTTGCAGCACAGCCGCCTGCTGTGATCAAAGAATGCAGGAAGCTGCCTCGGATTAAGATCAAACCAAACGGCCTATTGAGCCCGATATTCTCTGCCCAGAACTTGCACAAAAAATTATGATTTTGGAATGACAACTCCCCAAAGCTGGCTCGCGAATTCTGGCCACTGCCACTCAAAAGTTAGCTTTGCCCGCTCGGGGTCTGTTCTGAGTGATGGCAGCAGATTTTATTATTATTTTTCCCCCTTGATGGGAAAATAAGTTTCACCATAACTCCTTCCAGGATCCTTTTATAACCGGACCTCCCACGATGGCATTCAGGCCCTTGAAACACACTATGCGCATCTTGGCACGGTGGTCTTATCCAAACGAACAGCGCACGGACCAGGCCAGTTTGGAGAGAAGGCGACCCAGGAAGAAAAGCAGCCCAGGGTGACAGGCAAAGGGGAGACCCAGGTACTTGGGAGGAAGCATCCGACTTACCTGCCCAGGTGAGCGGAGCGGCCAGAGTCAGGCCAAGAGCGAGGAGACACAATCCTGGGGGCAGACCAAACTGCGCCATCTCTCCGCCTTGTCTTGTTAGTTAGTCTGCTCGGCTCCTGATAAGCTTTCCTTCCCCCCCTGAACTTCCTTGTTTGTCCTTCAAGGGCAGAAGGCAGGAAATCCAACACGGAGTTATGTCAACAGCTGTGTGTGTGTGTGTGTGTTGAGTTCACCGCCTGATGGAGCAAAAAAAGGAGAGGAAAATTCACTGGGGCAGCCCCCCAACCTCCCTACCTCTCCTTTTCAGGCCCGCACCCCCCAACTCCGTCCCTCTACCTTCCTCGCCTCCTCCAGCAGCCAGCCCACCTTTTTCTCTCCGAGGCGGGGAGGCGCCTGCCTGCCTGCCCGCCCGGAGTCACTCCGGATGGGGTGGGGACGAGGAGTTAATAGCAAACTAAACCGGAGAGGCTAGTTCGGGGAGAATAACTCCGTGCGCATCGCTGACAGCCGCGCATAGACCCGCGCACGCCGCGCGCAGGCGGGTCCAGGGCTGCTTCCCACGCCAAATCCTGCCTGCGTGTCGATGGCAGGAAGGACGGCCCTAGGATGGGTCCAAGAAGCCGGCCAGGAGTTTTTTCCCAGCCGGCGAGATGACTTTCTTGACCAGCAAGAACACGCGGGTTCGGGAGAACGTCTGAACGCGCCCCGCGCGGGTGGGTGCTTGGGGAGGCGCGTTCCCCGGCGCCACAGTCGGTGCGGGTTTTCTCCGCCTCCTCTTGGCAAACGGCAACTTTCCCGACCGACCGAGGGAGGGCAATTGAGGTGGGGAGGGGGACATGGGTTCGGGTTTGCTCTGACACGTGTCAGGCGTCTGCATGGCTTTGCCTGCATGGGTGGCAGGGATCGGGTATGACCCGGCCGTCTTTGCTGCACTTACTCTGAAGTAACTCCCACGGAATACCTACAGGAAGCTCCTGCCGGGCGAAGCTCGTAATCTTTATGGTTTCATAAGAGTTATTGTTAGGGCTGCGCCCCGTTCCGACGTTATGACTTTGCAACCCTAGTATACAGTACTGCACTTAAAACCCCGCATAAATCAACACACGAATTATTCCTTTTTGGAATGCATAAGACTGGATACAGTAGTTGTGTACAGTATTTAGATCGCCTGGAAACAAAAGTAAATATATACTAGGATTTAATCAAACCCACAAAGTCTGATCGCCCTTCTCTTCGCCTCCCTCCCTTAATTCTTGTCACGTGTCATCAAGTCCCTTTGCACTTCGGGCGACCCTGGATCATGAACAGCCCCCCCACTAAAATTATGCTTTCTTTTCGGGTTTTTAATTTCCTTTCATACGGCATAGCAGGGTACAGCGTCGTTGAGTGAGACTTCACAAAGACAATATAAAAAATGTATAGATGTAAAACATTAAAAGAATAAATTCTACAAGATTTTAAAAACAGGCCAGGATTTCTGAACCTCACAAGGATTCCTTTTCCAATCAAACCATCTCATAACTTGTGAACTTGACAAGCGCTGAAACAAGTCTGAACCGGTAATTGTAAAGCCAAAAAAGCACATGATGTGCTCATTTTATTATTCTTTTTTTTTTAAAAAAATCATTTTCAATGCAGTGTTTAAATATAGTTGCAGGAAAGACAGACTGGATTAGGGTAATTAACAAGGGCTTTTAAAAAAATCACTTTATGAGGGGCTGAGTTACTTTTGGCTCTCCATTTTTAGACTCCAATTCCCATAAGACCCCTTCAGGATAATGGGATAATGGGAGTTGTAGTTAAAAAACATCTGAAGGCCAAAGGTTTCTCGCCTTCACAGGGCAGTTTATGACCTTCAAAGGGTTAAGTTAATGGTCTCGTTTAATTTGGTAACTTCTCGGTGTGCTTCTATTTATTTATTTTAAAGGTGGGAAATAACAATCAGAGGCTTTGCCACCGATGATGTAGCTTTGTTCCTTCACAGTGCTCCAATTTTAGACTCTGACCTGTGGATCATGGAAAGGATGTTGGGGAGGGACAGCCCCCCCTCCAAAGGACAGTTCTCTTCATGCCATTGCTGGCAGAACCCAGCCCTGGGTTTCCAGATGTTCTTGGACTACAACTCCCAGAAATCCTGGCGAGCACAGCTAGTGGTGAAGGCTTCTGGGAAGTTTTAGTCCCAAGATCCTCTGGGGAGCCAAGGTTGGGAACCACTGCTATAGATGGTGTGTCATTGTACCCCCATGGTGTAATAGCAGATTAATTGGCGACAGATGCTGGGGCTTAGGTCCCCACCTGGCTATTAAGCTCACCAGGCCGGCTTGATTGCACACCACAATACAATAGGCATTGTTCTTAAAGAAATTAAAAGTTCTTAAAAGAAATTAAAGAAGAAATTAAAAGTTCTTAAAAATAAATTACAGTATTTAAAAATAAAGATCACACACTGCAATATAGTACTCCTCTTTTGTGTTGGGCTTGCTTGAAATGGGATCAAATATCTCCAACCACACAATATACAGCTAAGCATTCCTTTTTTTCAGCTGAAAAGTTGGGTTGTTGTTTTTTTTAAGCAACTATACGAAGGTGTGTATTTCAAATCGATTCTATCCACACCTTTTAAAAACTGATTTTGGCGTGTGTGATAGCCATGTGTTGGAGTAAATTGTGTCTGGGAGGTTTGCTAAGTTTTGCGTGCCGGGTTCCCCCAGGTCTGGGTTTTGACAGGTTACCTTGCAGTCTGAACTCTTCCCCTGGTCCCCTTATCTGCTTCTATTTTAGCGCTATTTCACTTAAGCGCTGTGCCACTTTAAAACTGTCTATTAAAAAATTAAATATTAAAAATGTCAATTTAGAACAGCGGTAAAGAAATCTCTATACAAGGGCACAACACAATGACAAACAAAGAACAATAATGGCTTTGGGACATGACGATTCTTAAAGGGACAGAGGAAAAATCGGGACCCGGAGTGGCAAAATGCTGATTCACGAATAATTGCAATGAACTGAAGTCCTTTGTAGTCCCCTGGACCAGTAGGACTATAGTTTATGAATGAACTAAAAGTTGGCCTATGAGGACGTAAACACCAACACAAAGACCACATGATGTTAAATCCGCTTTTTCACATTCAAACCAGCTTCCGATTTATTTCAACAGCGTGTAGTTCCATCCTGGGTGACTTTCAGCCACTCTTGTCTTCATTGTAATCTCTCACTTTTAATCTAACCTACATTCTGAGATGCCAGTTCAAAGCGTATTGTTATTAAGATTATATTGTGGTGAGGAAGAAAAGCTGAGGATGAAAAGAAGCGACTTGGAAGAGTAAGGAAAACATGAAATGAATAAACTGGAAGTCCTTCGGCGTATTTCAAAGAGATTCTTGTTGTTAAATTCTGTCAAGTTGCCCCTGACTTCTGAGGACCCCTCAAAATGGCCTCCTCAATAGCCTTGCTCAGTTCTCGAAAACTCAAGCCTGTGGGTTCTTTTAGGGAGTCAATCTACGGTATCTCGTATTATCTGGTTAAAAGGGAATTTTGCTGTTAAAAGAGAAGGAGTAAGAGAGCCAGCGAGAAAGAGGGGGGGGGGACTCTTGGAATTGACAGAAAAACAGAAGATAAGGATTTGAAGTGAACGCTTGGAAAGCATTTTGGCAAGAAAATCAGAGGAGGCCGGGATTAGATTTCACCTTTGTGTGTGGGAATTTCCACAGGAACCTTTTTCATAACTAGCAGAAGGGAAGTTGCTGAGGTCTGCGTGACCCGGCCCCTTCTAGGTAGTGTTTTTTTTCCCCTTCTTGTTTTAAGCCCCTTGCTTAAGGGAACCAAGTGTATGATGATACAGAAGTGAAGCTAAAACGTTTTTTGCCCCCTGCGCTAGATAAGCGTGAGAACGCAGTTTGATATTCAATAGTTTGTGCGTGTGTGTGTTGATGCAGCTGCAATAAAACCACTTGCCTGAAAAGTTAACATGACAAGGGTTTACTTTTGTTCCTCCTTGCAGACTTTGTTTGTTTCTCACCGGTTGCGGTTGCGTGACAAACAGAAATTCGCCTCAGGGGCGGCAAGAGAGAAAGTGAATGCTTCACCTGTGGAATTCCTACAGAGGAAAAAAAAAGCAGGCAGGGTGGGGTGGGGTGAGGAAGTGAAATGGCTACCCTTCAAAATCCACCCTAAGGTGAATTATCTTTTATCTAACTGGATATCGGCAGCCCCAAAGAGTCAATATACAGTTGCGCATCGGGTATGAAGAGTTTTAATCAAGATACTCACTTGTTTACATGCTTATGTGGCCCTCCTTTCCCACATACGGGTGCTCATTTTTTGTGAAGTTAATGTGAGGCTACAGAGAAACTGTAAAAGGGTGTGTTTCTGTAATAAACAGTGGCTGCATTTCAGTATTGCTAACTAGGGTCTGACTTCCATAATCACTTTGTGATTCAGTCAGCGCCATGAAGATTGTGTTGGGATTATATGCCTTTGTGTGTCACAGAATTCTTCATCAGAAAGGGGCATTATGGGAAGTTGCCTCTAATCCAATGGAAAAGATGGCTCCTTGTGCCTTCAGCCGTTGTGTGGAGGCACAATTTTTATCCGGTGTAATGAGCCCTGTCCCTTGTTTGCATCCAGGCATCTTAAGATACAGCTAAGCCATCCCCATTTAGAAATACGGGTGATGTGGCGATCTTTGGATTGTAAAACTACCCCCCCATGCAGTAGGAGCGGACGGCTCCAATTTCAGTGCTCTGGATTTTAGTGTGAACCGCACAGGAGCTGACCAAGGTGCTGAGCGCTCTCCCCAACATCGCTTCATCATCTTGGACAGCAATTTTAAAGTTTGGACTAAAACCCACAGCAATTCTACTACCGGGTCCTCACTGTCCTGTTCTTCGGAAAGGCTGGAGAACTGACTCAGGCTAGAATCTTTCAGGTGAGCCTACCTGAGGGCCGCTGGGGCTAGAGGGGCATGCAGAGGGTAAAATCACTAGAGGTGTGTGTTTAATTGACAGTCCAGTCTCTTCTCTTGCAAACCCTAATGACATCCCCTACTTCCTCACTGGTTGGGAGTGATGTTGTGCGTTAAGGATTTAGTGCCCCAGGTCCCAAAACGTGGGACTACAGTATTTGTAACGGAAGAAGCAATGTTTCCTGCCTTTTCACTGCTAGTTGTTGTGGGATAGCCAGATGCAAAAGGAGACAGTGTTCCTGAATCCCTGCTTCTACATCACCCTGAAAGGCACAGGAGCCCTGCCCTCTTTGCATCTGGCAACCCTAACTGGTTACGAGAGAGAATCAAGGTTATCCACATTGGTTTGCTGGCTTGCTTAGCTTCATGCTCCCAGCTTTTAACAGCACCTCCGCAAGCACGAGATGAAGCAGGCGGGTTAGGAAGTGTTATAGGAAAGCCAGTTTTTTGTGCATGCGTGTCTTTATGTGAGACGATGTTAAATTTTAACCAGGCGTTAGGCCCTGGAAGAGAAAGGCTGGTGAAACAGTGAAGGCGAGGAAGGCAGACAAATAAAGACAGTATCTTCCAGCATCCCATCACCCTCCAGCGACCAAATGGAAAAGAGCAGAGATGTCTATTTGTGCTTCAGCAGCACTGGCTGTTTTGTTGCATTGTGGGTATAACGGCTTCTGGTATATATCGTTTCTATTTTA